ATTTATCTGCAAAATAGGTCATAGCCAAAATGCAAGTGTAGTGTTGGATCTTTTTTATAAAAAAGCAGGCTGGTAGACCCACTACCAAAGTCTTTAAAGATTTCCTGCTTCTGCAAAATATAAAGTCTTGATTCATTTTTTGGTAGCTTACAAGATGAGGTGGGGTTGGAAGATGATGTGGACGAATTTCAAATAGAATCAAAATTAATTCATATTACCATTATAATAGTAATATCAGTTTTATTTTGTTTGGAAATAAATAATTGTCGCTTTTCTTTAAATACATACATACATCAGATAGTAGTTTTCATAAATTGCAGAAAGGAACCAACCAACAAAAGCCCATTTTTTTCGTCGCCCTTACTCATAACATCACAAAATCCACCTGATGAAATTATTAAATTATATCCCTTAAACCTCCGTAAGTCCAAAATCGGCATAAAATTAACAGGTAATTTTAAAATTATTAAAATCTTTGATAGCTTTTTTCTCAGTTTCATCATGGTGTGGGTTGGTCCCATTCTGCAGAAAGCCGTCCAAATGTCAAAGAATTTATTGCGTTAAATGTATACATAGTATACATACAATAGTAACGTTATTAAATAAATCAAATTAGTATTTAATGCAATAACATTCTACCATTCTAACAAATAAATATCAATATGAATATCAATAGATAAATATCAATATGAATATCAATAGATTTAGGAGCGTTAACTTTTGTTGTTAGTTTAAAAACAGTAAACGATTATAAACCAAGTGCTAACTACCTATTGGTATTATAGGAACTGTTATTCAGGAATACGGATTACAAGATCCCATTGGTTTAATGGCTCACCCATTCATGCTATGCTAGCGTTTTTTTTTGTGTAGACATATTAATATGTAAATGGTTTTTATAATCAACCACTTGTGTTCTGTTGTATACTTGTTTTTGCATTGTTTTTTTATTGTATTTAAGAGATTTTAGTAGCTTTTACATAATATGCAAATATATGCATATAATATATTATGCCACTTTTGCTTTTTATAAAGCCAAACCACAGAAATGTATGTAAACTTAACCTAGGCGATGTAAGCAAATGATTTAGAAAAATTTGATATAACCCAAATTTTGTTGACAATTCGTATCATACGTGGACGTATTAATATGTTTATGATATCATATATTTTAAATCCCCCACTTATGAACTAACTATGCGCATAAAGTATATTCATATGCCAAATCGACAAATTTCTCCTCAAAAAAGGAAACAAGGCCGTTCATACAAAATATGGAATAAACACTGGTGGCGACATATCTGTGTTTATCTAACAAACTTTAGACCGATCAACCTCACATTTTCCCAATTAAATTATTTTTCTATGTTTTTTTTGGAAACGTAGAAAAGGTATAGTCTGAAACACATTTGGGATTGCTTATTCCGCTCTCGTGAAACCGTCAAACTCTCACTTTTTACTCGAGCGGAATATGCCGTATTCCAAACTTGTTTTAGAATATACTATTGTCGATTTTAGTGTTAGAATGTTATATTCTCGCAGGTAAAATCGTTGAAGCTAATTCTTAAACGATTTTTGGTAATATTTAGTTTTCAAGTAATGGTACCCCCAAAAATGTCAAACTGTTTTATAACCTCAACTTAAGTGAATTTTAAGATTATGTACATTATTTTCAACAAACCAGGTCAATAAAAACTCTTCTGACATTTTACGCTGCTAAAAGAATACAGAATTGTTCAAAAATATGATTAAACATTTAAAAAGAGTACAATACTTACACAATAGTATTTGTGATCTGTCTAGTAGTTGTCAAGTTGTCATGCTATTTCAGTATAGACAAAGTAAAGGAAATTCATATTCATATTTTTATAAAAATTTGAATTAACAATATGTATTATATTAATAGTATATTGTAGACTTTTGAAAGAAAGAGGAGATTCCTCCTGACAATAAAACTGTCAAACATTTTTAACCTCACTTTTTTCCAATTTTAACCTAAAGCTAACTTTAGCCCGTGCGCAAAATACTATTTTGCCCACTAGAGGCGCTAGTGAGTCACGCGGGTGAAACTCGCGAGTTAAACGTGCAGTCGCACAATATACTAATATTTACAAAATTATAAGGGTATTTTATAAGTACGCTTCTTCATTTATTCATCAACAGAAAACGTTACTAGTTTTGTTTCTAGTTTTCTTTCTTTTTCATGCGGTAAGTTCACAATTTCGATACACGAGAAGCGTTACTAAATTAGTTTCTTTTAGCTTTGTTACGATTTCATTACTCAGGTGGTGCTGCTGGTTTCGTTTCCACATACAAATAGTATTATTTCTATGCGTTTCCATACACTGTTTAAAATATCTGTGGTGTAAAGAGTAATCTTAAAATGGTGTCAAAATCCAACACCAAGTGGTGTTATATAAACACCATGAATTATGGTGTCACACCAAAACGGTGTTTATCTTAAAATATTTGAGAAGTGCACTTACACAGAAAAAAGGAATAGTTCATTTAACTATATTAATTTAGTTGACCCATAAATATTTATTTTTGTATTTTTTTTATTTTTATCAACTGTGGGAAGGTTAAGATAAACAAAGATTAGTTTGACAGTACTAAACCAGATAGTTATTTTTTTTTAATTGGTTAAATTAACCCAGAAAACTTTAGTGAAACTGACCCGCTGTATGGTTCAGTTTACTTAATATATTATTAATTATAATTATATTATATATAATTAATATATATTATGTTGTTTGTAAAATAAGAGTTACTTTAAGCTAAAGCACTCTGTTAAAACGATTAAAACGATTAAAACAATTTGCCGTGCATTCCCGGTTGCATAGTGTGTATCGATCGCGGTAAAGGCGGTGTGGATCACGTGATGTTCTTAAATCTCGCCTCTGTTGACTTACATGAAGAGTATATAAGCTCAGGTAGTCCTTTGCTTTGGTGTGACACTACAAGTTGTTCGATACTAAAGTGAAATAGGTGGAAACAGCTGTCAATACTTGAAGTATTTTAAGTTGGTGGAACGCCCTAAAAATATTATCTTCAGCGAGTTGAAGGTTCAATTTTCTGGAATAATACCACTGGTAATATACTAGTAATGCGTCAAGGAACTTCCTGTTTCCCTTTTTTTCTGTGTAGTATGATTTAATTTCAACAAAAACACATAATATTTAACACTCAAAAGGAGTTCAATTTACACCAGGTAAAATTTATTTTAATACTGTGTGAAAGTTAAATTTACACTATTTTAGTATTTGAATTTACACCGGACCAATGAACCATATTTAACACCATTTTGGTTTGTATCGATATAGACCATGTATGCATACATGGTCTATATCGATACCATGGTATTAATTTGGTGTTAAAATGGCCATGAAATTTTGAACAGTGTACCCAGGGTTTCGATTCTGCTTTGAGTTTTGCTTGTTTGTTACCTTAAGTTTTGTTATTCTTCTGTTACTTGTTGGGAATGATTTCCAACGTTCCGTTTCTGATTATGTTTTAATTCTTTTATATTACTCGAAACGGTAACGCCAAAAACGGAGTTTCATTTCCATATATAGGGACTTGTAACAAAACCTCGTATACGAGGTTTTGTTACAAGTCCCTGCTAATAACAGCCAACTTAAATTTATCGCGCTTCTGGGTGGTGGGGCCCCTTGTGGCCAATTTATGAGGGCCCAACAGGAAACTCCCGGTCGCCCGGTGGGCCAGCACGCGCCTGAACAACGATCACAAAACATTTTAAAAAACGCTCAACAAAAGCCAACATCGAGAAAATAGTATAAAACACACTTTGCAGAAGGCTATAATAAATTCGTTCGGGAATAGGTAAGTGGCCTTCTGCAACTTGTACTTTAATGTACCATTTTATTTTTCCATACATTTAATTTAATTCCATATTTAAAAAAAATAATCATTAAAATTTTTACAGGCCAACAATAGTATATTAAAGACAGTGGCGGCTGGTGGATTTTGGGCACACCCATATCGCAGTTATTAGACATGGAACCCACATTAAGTTTATAATGACAGTATATAGACAAGTTCTGCGCAAGCAGAATTTAAATTGAAAAAAAGTTAGTTTTTTAGTGTGCCCCCCTAGCCGTCTGCGCCCCCAAATTAAGATAATTCAAATTAAAGTGGGGCAATTTATAATTCACTACAGTTCAAAATTTATTTAAAAAGCCCAAGTATTACAGATTTTATACCATTTCTATTTTTTTTTTAAATTTAGAAATAGAATTTTTAAAAAATTATAATGGTATAAAATCTGTAATACTGTAAATAAATTTTGAAATTTGTTGATAAACTGGATATCGGTGTACCCAAAATCCACCAGCCGTCACTGATTAAAGACCTAATGTCATGTTATTTCATTCCACGAGTGCGAGAAAATTTCCTATGATTCGAGTTCATTGTACTATTGTTTCTATTTGTCAAAATATATTTATGCGAATCGTACTGTGCTTATAAGTGGATTATCCCTCGTATACAAATGGAAAAAAATGGGTGCTGATTCCAAAAATAAACATTTTACTACCAATAATCATGTTCATTGTGAAAAAACCGTTTACTAGATGAATATGCAAATTTTGTAAATTTCATTAAAATCGAACAAAAATTGTTCGAGAACTATTTAGGTCAAAATCTTAAAAGATCAGTCATGATCCCACGTTTCAAATTGTTTAATATCTAATATAATAAATTTTAAACGAAGCAGCGCACCTTTAAGTGTTTTTTCACTTCTCTTCCCTCGTTCATCGATTTGAATATTCGCATTTCCTTTGTATATTGTGCGCGCACCTTAAGCAACAAAATGTCAGCCACAGTTCTTTTCAATTAATCTTGGTAACCTTGTATGGTATGGTATGATAGACTTGATGGTATTTGTAAATTGGAAAAATAAGTGAAAGCGTTCAACTGCTTCGATTTGGTTTACTATAAATACATTTGTTCACTATTTTAAAAACAAAATGTTTACTTACATGTTGGTATTGGGGGACATGGTGGATCTGCGCAAGCCAGTTCTTCCAAATGACATTCCAGCGCGTTGGGACATCTGACATCGTCGCAAGGGTCCCGGCAACGACACGTGGGACAACCGTCTTTTGTCAAAGCGAAACCATGGGGACAAAACATTCGGCACGTGTGATCTGCGCATGGTTTTGGAGCTGAAATCGAGTCAAGGTCACATTCTTAAGATAGTTTTTATTTTTTTGTATTTTATTTAAAAATACGCTTTTCAAAAAATAATTTTAGATGTTTGTCAGGATATGCTATACTATTCCTTATAAAACATTTTCGTAATACAATAAGTTTATTTCATTATAATGTGAAACCAGTATTAGTTGTGTGAGTTTAAATACATAGTAAACTTAATTTGGAATTTCCATAAACAAGCGGATGGTTAGTAAGAGGCTCACGATATTGTTCTTCTTTGTAAATACACACTACCAACTTCTAGGAACTATATATATATTTAAATGTTTCGCAAGAATCTGCTAAACATATTGCACTAGTTCCCACAGAAAAATAACAACATTATATCATTGTAAGACAATGGTATTAATAAATGATTCAATATAATGTTTTAACAATTAATTTTAAATTAAATCGAAAGCAGCATCAATTATTTACCTATTTTGTGTTCTGAAATTCTAAATATTTTGTTATATAATACACAGATAGTTAACACATAATAATAACGTTATTTTATAATTTTTCCGCGGTTATAAAAAGCATAATTATGAAAAAATTGTAGGTACATCATTAGACTGGTTTTTATTTACTAATAATACCTGGTGTTTTCAAACAATATTGTTTAAATTCTTAAATCAAAATGATAAGGTTTTATATGTATTAATTTATGCTTTAATAGAAAATACCGGTAAATTTCGTTTTTATTATTTGCAACATGCAACGCTTATTAAAATAGTTAATTCTTATCTAAATCCATTTTTAATTAGTTATTTAATCGTAAAATTATTTTTAATATGCATATCCAATTAGTTGTTATATAGAAACGAAACCTTTCATTTTTATGTCAAAAAATAAATAAAACAACTGCTTAATTTTGCGAGATATCAGTACAAGGATTTTTGAGAGCTTTAATTTTTTTCACTATTACTATCTTTATTTTATTTAATCGTCTTTAAACGCGCTTTTATTGCAATTTTTTTCATTAAATCAGTTTTATAGTTCAAAAATGTATTTTGTGAGAAGATACTACCTATCGACTATTTTTTCAAAGTAAAATAGTAACATATGTTACTATAATAATAATATATATATATTGTAAATTAGAACTTGTAGGATTTGTAATCAAAGTTGTATTGAGTAAATAAAAATAAAAAAAAATTAGGAAAAATCTGATCACCAGTGGTATTCAGCAAGACTATTTCACGAATATTTTTTTTAAAATTAGAATTATCTGCCCATTCAATTTTTGAATTATTTTTTTGACCAAAACGCATGTTTTTTGACAATTTTATTTTAAAATTAAAAACGTTATTTTTGGCATAGCAACCAATTGGTAATTATGCAACTCTTATAAACGATAAGTAATATCATAAGGGCATCTAATTTTTCCGAAAAAAAAAAATCGAAAAATCACGTTGCTAAGTAATATTTTAACAAGAAGCATCAGTGCTGGTGGCAACAAAAATACGAGTCGAAGACGAGGATTTTTGCACCTGCACGAATTCATTTTGTTAAAAAATATTACTTAGCATTGTGTTTTTTCGATTTTTTTCACAGGAAAAATTAGATGCCCGAATGGTATTTGACAAGACTATTTCATGAGTAACAGTTAACAATTAAAATATAAATTGCAATTTATGGTGACAACAGCTGTCAAGTTTTGCCGCGGGTAAACTCGAAAAAACTGCTGACAGGGGCTGTCAATGACAGCCTGTCATACAGTTTTTTCACCTAGAAACGATTTGTAATTCAAAATTGCGCGTTTGTGATTGGTGGAAATAAAGACGAGGGAAATAGTCACTGAAAAACAGAAAAAACCACTCGTTTCCTGAAATATGATTGGTCCATTAAGTAATGAGCGAAATAGTCTATTTTAAGTACCACCGTTGTAAAGGGGTTTATTTTAAGTTAAAATTTGTTAATAATTTATTGATATTAGTAACAAAGTTATGTTGATTTAAAGTTTGCTTTTGTCTGGCAGTAACTGTGCCCATAATCCCATAAAATGTTACCTAATTTTATATTGTATTATTTTAGGTTGATTTTTTAATTTTAATTTATTTTCCTAAAAAGCATTTTTAATGCGATTATATTAATAAGGTTAGTTAGAACATGTATCGCAAGTAATTATTTTTTAAAGTAATTTATCTATTCTGTAATTAAAATTGTATTGCAAACATGTTTTTAAAGTCGTTTTTGTAAAAAATATTAATTTTATAAGAATATTATTATTTTAGTTTAATTTTTTTAGATTTTTAAAAAGACTTTGTATAATTTTTTTTAAATTGTCAGTTATCGACAATTAAGATAATCTATAGATTAAATAATAATAAAATATATTCTCAAAAGTATGTTAATGGTTAATATACCCAAGCTGTTGCACTAAATACATTTATAATAAGACCAAATACCCTACATTGAGGTCAAGAATAATACAACTTCCTTCTTTTTTATTGACCATATGAAATAAAAAATAAAAGTTTGTTAAAATTTTATAATAAATACGAATGACACTGTAGGGAGGTGAAAATATCACAGCTAAACGCTCGGACACGTAAACTTAATTTTTGGTCGTAGATTACAAATCTATGCTTGGTTATCAGGTCAAAATTCAAAGATAAATAAATAATTGGAAACTTGGGTGGTCCCACACATCAGTACCAAATTTAAAAAAAAAACAAATTCTTGCACAGTTAATTGATCAAAAGGAACACGTGTCCCTGAGGGTTTTTTATAGATAATTTAGGAAATGTTTTTTTGCTATTTTTTTTTATTGAGTATAATTGATGATATTATAATAATTAAAATAAAAAGCATAGGAGATATTATTTTATCTTAATATTACACAATGGACACGGATAATTACCTAATAAATTATTTTGATACCATAACATCGTTAAAATATCCAGTGATAAATTAATTTTTTTGTATAATATAGTCAAACAATTTCATTTTTTTCTGTTGTGAAGTGCTATTGGAGTCAAGTGAAAGTTTTCTAGACACTAAATAGCCACTGCTACTCATCTCATTCTTAGAATAAATAAGTATCTATAAGCATTTAGAATTTTTTCGAACACCTAACTGTTTCTTTTATTTACGTAGCTTCCATATCAAATAATAATTATTATTTATTTATTATTTATTGTTTATTGTACACCACGATTTTAAATGGTTATTAATAAATAATTTTTTTATTGAAACACAAGTAAAAGTCTTTTTAGTCGACATAAACAATAAACAATAAAGTGGATTTTTAGTTGGTACTCAAAAGCTGCCGAAAAATAGCACTTTTACAGCTCCTTTTATTATTGTCTGTTATATTAATAATTATAATAATAAATTATTAATAAAATTATAATAATAAAGGTCGCTTAAAAAATTATGTGTGCACCAATGCCCAAAAGTGATATTTTGTCCTCGTCTTTAGACTCGTCCATGAAAAAGCCACGCAAATAACTATTTCGGTACTAGTACAAAAAAAATATTTTCTGGACATCTTTCTTACCTGTGCAGTTGACGAGTGCGGCAGCAGGAGCCCGTGTTCCTGCAAGTTCGAATCCCGTTTCGTCCACGCACCAGCACGAGCTTACAATTTCGTTATCGCACTGAACAGGCTCGAAACCTCCAACTTTGTTGCATCTGGGCATGCGGACACTTTTCGTTTCCTCCCCCAAAGATTTTGCACGTCTGGAGGCGGCCATGCGCAATGTCTGACAACCTGAGAAAACAAAAAATGAGATGGGAGAGGAAAAAGCTTCCTAGTTTTCATTTTATGTTTATTATGAACAGTTCATAATAATGATAATGGGACCCATTATCATTATTAAGAACTGGAAGGAACCATAACATGTTTAGTTTGTTCCTTATTATTAATAAAAACGTTTTTATACACAACATAACCAAACAAACAACTTTAACGTAATTTTTTTACTTAAACTCAATGTTAAAAATTGGCCAGTCTCGTCCCAGCCCTCGAGTGAGTAAGTCGATGTAGCGTAGCGGAGCCAGAGAGTAAACGTAAAACGTTAAAACCATAACTAACAAATAAGCCCTCATAATGCAAACAACTATAGTGTAACAAACACAGTGAGTACAGACTACCCTACGGTCAATAATTAGTTAAGGGCCAAGTGAAAAGGAAGAGTGAAGTGACAAGTGCAAACGAACATAGTGAAACGGTCAAAAGAGTTAAGTGTTAAGTGACAAGAAAGAGTTAAGTGACAAGTGTCAGTGCCTGAGCGGTCGCACCATCTGTCAACAGGACGATTTTCACTGGCCAAACAAAAGAGGCCAAACAAGGGAGGAACAGGCCACCTGCAAATAATTGCTAAGTATCCGCATGACCTAACACATAATTTGCATATAAACTAAACAAGGCACATTGCCTAATCCCTACAAAAAAAACAATAATCATCGGCAACAAAATAAAATAAAAAGTCAATTTTCCAAGAATAAAACAAACAGCCGATCGCGGACACACACCAAAGTTGAACAGGGCAATAAAGCTGTCAACAAAACAATTCAAGTATAACAAACCGAGACCAAATAAATTTGACACCTAAGACATAAATAACACATAAACTAAGAAAACATAAACAAAGTAAAAAAGCACTCTAATCAAACTCCATGGAATTTGTAAACACATTGACTTTATAGTAGAAGTAAAAAAAATACCCCCCACTGGGAACTGCCTTATCGCACCAGCTGTTTAACACGGTGATAGGTTCGCTACGCGAAACTAAAACAACAGCAGACACAAGACAAAATTAAACAACCACTTACGTAATAACCTAGGAACGTACAGACCCTACATCGAGGACGCAATAAATGAACTAAGCAGTCGTTATGAACACATAAGTGACAAAACAGGAGAAATTAATGCGTACCTAAACGACCACGGTAATTAGCCCAATTAAAATACTGGGCCCACGTCACTCGTAGACAACGCAACAACATACTACAAGCCACCCTTTAACTATAGTTCTATAGATCTTAAAGACAAAAAAGTCGGGAGACCATGCTTCACATTTCATGACACGTTAGCACAAAACATGCACTTCTCACAAATTAACAAGACCAGTTGGGAGCAACTTAGCAACAATAAAAATAAAATAAAAAATACAACCGACACACTTTACCAAGTTCAGGAACTATCCGACACGGACAATGTCAATAATGAACAAGACGAAGACCTCGACTAGGAAACTACACCCCTGCAGCGTAATAACAACTCCCCAACTCCAAATAGTAATCCCAAATGTTTGGAGTAATACTAATCGACTGGTCTACAGGATTCCGCGTCGTACTTAGTTTTAAGTCGGCGTAATTGTCCCCCAAAAACCAACACCCTCCCGTCCCTCCTCCATACCCCACTGAGCGTATAGCATAGGCTCGGCGAACCCGGGAATGGCTATTAAAACTATTCGCCTCTCGCTCTCGAGCCCCAAATAGGGGACAGTACGGAACGCAATGGACATTCGCACCCAGCAAACACGGGTGAAGCCGCGCAGTTGCTGGAGAAGAACAAAAATCGGCGTAAGTAAACATAGGCATGTACGGGGTTCGAGAGTCAAGAGGAAATGGGGCTGGTTATACGTCTCTTATACTCATACTCATACTCAACTCAATGTTAAAAATTGGTTTAAAATGGTAAATTCCAAGTATTTAGTATTAAGTATTAATGAAAACTTAGTCATTATTTTTTAATATAAAGCTTTAAATCAATACCATGGTTTTTATAACAAATTATGATATATTCAATAAATAACGGTTTTTATTAATACTCAAATAAACTTTCTTCTTTTAAGTATATTTAATCTTTAACTTTGGAAAATAATGAACATAAACATAAATATAAGGATCGTACTCTCTAAAAATGAATTAGTCAAAAGTGAATAATTTAATAGTTATTATTGGCTGCTTTTTCACTTGTACCATGGTTAACCATGCAATACCATGGTATCCCAAAATTTAACTGCCAATTCTTATGTAAAATTGTCCCCTGAATCCGAAAATGTCATAAAAAGTTAAAAAAGTATAACAGTTTTTGGGATATAGTCAATTACTAATAACTATTAAATTAGTCATTTTTGACTAATTAATTTTTAGAGAGTAGGTATAGCTGGCTCCATCCGCATCGTCTCTTTCGAGCCCTCAAGTGCAACCCATACCCACCTTTCGATTTTCTTTCATACCCAACAACATCGCAGCTTCACCTGTATTTGGCGTATTCGGTGTCCACCACGTTTACGGTACCCTTTTTGGGGTTCGAAAGCGACATGCCGATGGTTTTAGTGACCCTTAGGGAATTACAAGGGTATACCTTTTAGTTTTCAGAGAAGAATAACGCCGATACAAATCTAGGTAAGACCGGGGCGCCTAGTAATACCACAAGCACTTGGAAGTCATGCTTGCGGCTAGGCCTAACGTTTATTTGTCGTGTACGCTTTTTGTACTTCTGTGTCTGTATCCCCTTCTCCCTTATGTCGGGTGTTTCGGTATTTGGTAGCTGGCTTTAAGGAATATTTGATAAATCTTCATTGAAGCCAGCTACCAAATACCGGAACACCCGACACGAAGGGGAAATTTCAAGTACTGACTTTGTCGCATACTTTCGCCTGCTTTGCTGCATTTTTTTTCTGTTTCCAATTCAATAGAATTCAAATACTATGTTTTGTTTGCCTCCACGTCCAACACCGACTTTTTTAATGCCGCTTAGCCCTCCTGATGGGATTGTTAGACAATGCAAGACCGCTTATCAATAAAGATTGCGAATTGAATCTTGCGGTTTTAAGCTCTGGTACTGTTTGAGTCCTTTAAAAGCCGGCATGATGTTTTCTTCTGCACATGTGGTGACACTTGGCGCTTTCGAAAAAAAGTCCCAAAAATGGCAAGCTACCATTCCACATGATAGAGGACAAATACATTTATTTCTGACGAGTAGTTTTTAAGTATTGTATAAGTAACTATTTTAATACATCACAGTTTTGATTTTTTTTATTTAAAAATAACGAAATTCGTACCTGTAAAGAGTTGTTTGGTGCACACTTTTCCACAAGGGCTTTTACAACAAATACTGTCTGCTGAACAATCGTCATCTGCTGTGCATTGTTTAGCTTTAAAAGGGCATTCGGTTAACATGGGACATTTCGAATTTTCTAATTTTGTAATGTAATCTGCAAAAAAACATATAATTTTAAACATGGTAAATGTAAATTTTCAAAATTGTGCTTTTAATTTTTCTTATATAAAATCTCTTAATAACATAAATAATAATGAATTCAATATTATAATTTGGTCTGATAAATAATAAATTATACACATGTTCATAATCTGATATTAGCAGCTCATAAGGAAACAATGTGTAACTTTAAAGGGACCTTGAAATTTTGGCTTTAATTTTCCTGCAAACGACAACTGACTGACAAATAAGGTGTTGTATCTTACACCAAGGCAAATACTAACACATATTATAAGAGAAACAACCAGAAATAACAAACTAAACACGCATAGTTCTAATAAATAGGATTTGTTTACTATAAGATTCTCTGCCCACCACATCTTTTACATCCGCGGAGAAGCGGGACTGTCTCTACTGCCTTCTTTCTACTGTGAGTATATGAGAATACACGAATAATTTCAATATTATCAAAGAACATAGAAAAATATCTTTTAATTTGATATTGAAGATAGTGTTAATAATATAGAGGCTAGACGCTTTTAAAAAATATTTTATTCTATTTAAATGTATTTTTTTTAATATTAAAAGAAAATACATTAATTTTAACCAAAAATTTAGTATTTAAATTATAGTTCGAAAATTCCTGTCAATTTTTATTTTTGTATTGATTTATTTCAAACATTTTGTTATTATTATAAATTTAAAATAAAGTTTTTTAAAGGGCGCAGAGGGCTTAAACTCCCTCTAAAGTTTGTAGATATTTGGTATTTTTCATATTTGTGCCTTACACGGTCAATATATAAAATTTCGTAAAATGTAAAATTTTATTTAAATAAATACCGTAAAATATACCAATAAATTAAAAATAAAAAATAATAAAATAAAAAAAAATAAAATTATCATTAAATCTTATTTAATATTTATTTAAAAAATACAAAAATTGTAACCAATTATAATTAAATGCAAGAATGCAGGGTGCAACAGTAGTAATTGAATGCTGCAACAACTTTGTAACCGCCAATATAAAAATTTCAACTATTGACTTTTTCTCTTTTTATTTGTATCGCGCATTTTGTTTTTGTAAACTTTTTTACATTTTATTAATAATTAATAATAAAATGTAAAAAATATTATTATTAAAATGTAGGTATTGCATTTTAATAAATGCAAATGGCATAACACAAACAAAATAAGTTAACGCAACACAATAAGGGGACATCCATTAATTACGTGAGGCATTTTTCTGATAATTGGTGAGATTTGGTGAGATGTGGTAGACCCCCCCATCCCTCACGTGAGATTCTAGCCATTATCTTTCATTGCGGACAACATGATAAACCCAAAAAAAAATTGATTATTTTTTTTTTTGACAAATTTGAATTATAATACTTATATTCTTTGAACCCAAAAGTTGACGTGAGATTTTAAATGACCCCCCATCCCTTAACATGAGATTTGGTGCGATTTTGCTAGACCCCTCCCCCCTATTTTTATCTCACGTAATTAATAAATGTCTCCTAACAATAATTTAAACACTGAAAAGTAATTCGAACCCATAACCCAATTATCGAACGAAAAAAACAGAGCAAGTTTACAACCATCAACAACGCAAAAACCAGAAGTTTAGCACTAGATAAGTAAAACGCACGTTACATCCACCTTACCGATTTAAAAAATAGCTCAACAAGTGACGTCGTTCCCGCTAAATTAGCCCTGCCCTACGTGCGCTATCATGCCTATCTTAATGTGTATGTTGTTCTTTATTAAAAAAAAATTATATTTTTAGAATTAATAATATTAATAAGAATAATGATATTAATAATAGATTTTAATTTTAAATTTACTAAATAATTTTAAAAAAATGATCGTTTTTATAAAAAACAAAAACTCAACATAAATATAACTCGCAAAGGGCTTAAAAATTAGCAAAACATGAAAATTGCTAAATTGCATTATATTTGTAATTTAATTTAATTTATTTTTACTTTGCTAAAAACTGTTGCCTACATAATTAAGTATTTTTCATAATTTTTTTTTTTAAATTTAAAGAAATTAGTAGTTGGCATTTCTTAGTTCTTAAGCGTATAATACTTATACGCTTAAAAACTAATAAAACAAAAATGCAAACAAATAATATTTCTATTATACCTATTTTATAGGTGGTAGGTATGTTTCTAGTTTTAACTTTACTTTTAAAATTATTTATATTACCACTTTATTTTAGGTAAATGATGTGTAATTTGGTTAGAACTGATCCACTATAGTATATTGTTTAACGATTGAGAAAGTTGGCCATTTCCATGAGGATGAAACACGACACGAGCCGAAGGCGAGTGGAGTTATTCATCCGAATGGAAATGGCCAACTTTCTCAATCGTTAAACAATAGAAAGAGATCAATTTTCTCCACAGTTTAAGACAAAGCCACCTTCTTAATTGAAAACGTATAGGAAATGTACAAATTCTTTAATATGATTAAAAAAAGGGTATTTTCTGCCACTAGACATTTTTTAATATTAAATTGTTCGTACGCAACTGCAGGTATTTTTAACTTCCTTATTAGCTTACCTTATACATGCAGGGCCGGCGTTAGCTTATTAGAGGCGAGGTGCAAAAAAAGCGGGGCTTGATCTAAAAATTTACTCTTGAAAATTAACATAGCGCTTAGCGGCAATAAACTAATAAAACAATTCAAGGGGTTAAAGCTGAAACCGCCCAAGTGCATTTTTAAGTCAAATTTTTTTAAGCGTGTTACCGGTTATTAGAAAATTGGGTGATTTTAGCTCTAACCCCTTTAATTAATATAGAAATTAACGTTTAAGAAAAAATCACGCATATTTGTGGATTGACTATCGCATCGGACCTTTTGCAGATTGCCTTAAACACCGTAGTAAATTCGTAGATTGCCTAAAATGGTAGTGATTTTGCTCAATGTCTGGTAAATTGGTCTGTTTGCAGAGCAGAGTTGCAAAAAACGCATTTTTTTTTAATGCAATGATATTTCATTGCTAATTTTTATCATAATGAGTAATGAAATTAATTTGCATTACTCATTTTTTTTCGTTTAATGGTGAATTACTTGTACATTTCTCATTTTCAATTTTTTATGAGTAATGTAAGAATTTACATTAAATTTTTTATTTTAATGAGTAATGTGGATTTATTTTATTACTAATTTTTTTTTATGATAAAAAAATGAGTATTTCATTGCTCATTTTTAACAGGTACGGAAGTTATTTTTTGTTGTATACAGATAACATTTGTATAGATAACATTTGTTTTTTATTTTTTGCACGATTTGCATTGGATATATGGATATACATATATACGAAATATTTGTAACGAAAAAAGGTTGTAGTTAAGGGACTTGGGGAAATATTTCTTCTAAAGATATCGCGTTTTAAATGCCAAAAGGGCGTACTACAGCAGTTAGATAGGGTTTTGTGCCAAAAGGGCGAATAAAAAAATGTTTCAGAGACATTCAACTTAAAATCGTTCAAAACGTCAAGATCTGTAAAAAAAATTGAATTACTAACGGCAAAAGGGCGTATCTCGAGACAAAATTTTCTTAAAGCCAAAAAGGCGTATAAAAAAAATTCATGTGTTTCATTATAAAACATGAAAATAACGCAAAGCAATATCAGAATCAAAGGTAAAAAATTTAACTGTAGAGGTATGTTTTCGCTGCGACTGCTAGTCGTGACTGCCAGCAGTAACGTCTGGCAGTGGCTATCAGCAGTCGATGATAAGTGTTTTAACTGAAGCGACAGATTTTGACGGTTTTTCTCTACTTTCCAGTCTGTAGTTGCTTATAAATGAGTTAAGTTGGGTATGGTTGGTTAAAAATGGGTGCAGATTGAAGCTTTTTGTTATTTTGGAAGGGGAGGAAGAAGAAACTGAGGAATTTCAATACTTATTTACAAGAAGATGGAAAATGTTTTGTTTTATCACTTATAGAAAAAGACATTAAAAAAATGTCGACTACTAGATAAGGTTATTTAAGGGAAAAATAATTTAAAGTATTGGTAACAAGAGAGAGGGGGCTCGACTGCCATCTGCCAGACTACTCCTTTGGCAGTCGATCTTCGAACGTCGACTGCTGGCAGAGGAGATGCGACGACTAGTCGTCGACTAGTCGACTAGTCGCGACTGGACGCTTGAGTCAGTGTTGCCACCTATAACTTTTTTTTCGTAATAGACGCATGCGTCAAAATGTAATAGATTTGGGATTTAAGGTAATAGACTATTTTGAATCAAATTTTTTTTGATTCTTTGAAGATTTACCGTTGTCATTCGAATAAAATTGAATTTTTACATGATGCTTTATAATCTGTGCATGATGCTTAGCTATTTTAATAAACACAAATTTAAGCACACAACAAACGTCAAACACTGCTTGAGTGGTGTTGCCAGACGTACGATAATTTTCCATAGAAAGAATAATTATCCCTTTTGTACGTATACGTACGAACAATGTACGAAATCACATGTTAGATAAAATTAATATATACAATAATTTCATGTAAATCAAATTGCACAAGGGAATAAAACTACACAATATTAACAAAATCTTAAATTTTGGATAAACAATAAGTTTATTTTAATTAACTCTTTATTCTTTATTTTTTTAATAATAAATTTAAAATATATAACAAGATTTAAAACACTCATATTAGAAAAACCAAGAAAAATTGAATTCTACAATAGATTTTATGCGCTGCGACAATTATCTTTTGTGGGCACTCTGGCAAGTTGCCAGTGGCAACAATAGGACCACAATAGAATATTTTAAAAAAATTCCTACTAGGAAAGAAAAAAGTAATAGATTTACATCGTTTCGTAATGGGGTAATATATTTTCGCTAAAAGTAACAGATCTATTACTACTGCGCTTGACACTGACATAAATATAAAGAACTATGCGAATGCCAGACGTTACTGCTGGCAGTCACGACCAGCAGTGGCAGCGAAAACCCTTAAGGGGGCAAAATGGGTAA